TTTAGCCGCGGGAAAACGGACATGAACCCAACTGAAAGGAAAGGATTTAGCTAAAAGTCCCACTGATTTTGGATCTTAGTTTATTTTATACCCGCTTATTTTAGTATCAGCTAACAAAATTACTTTTTACATCTAAATCTTTTTTTTTTTTGTAAATTTATATCTGTCATCTTAATACTATAATATTTGTGTTATATAACCTAAAACTCACGAGTTTAATAATTCATTGAGAGCTGGTCACGTGTCAGTGGAATGAATCAGATCATGTGATCAAAAGATGAGACTCGGGAATAGACACAGCCTAACCAAACAAGTTGACATTAACTGAAAGCCCGAGTCTGAGTCGAATGGCATCGTCAGGCCGAACTCCACCGAATAAACCTAGTCCTAAGACAAGGAAAGGAACGACCATCAGTCTCGTCCACGTCGCTCGTATTAAATGCATGGCTAGGCATTATGATGACTTCTTGGATAACACCCATAGTCCGCCATCCAGTCACTATTGTATTAAATGCACGTCATAATGACTCATCGACACCGCTGTTGGGTGTAAAAATTGACTTCCCAGGAAGGGGTCGATTGTATTTATAAGATTGGCTTATTACAAACTAATAATCAATGTTTTACACCAGAGGAGAAGGGAATGACCCTTCTTGTTTAACGTGGGTTCTTCAGTAATGATATGACGCCTCCCTCGGTGTTTGTGCCGAGTTTGCTTCCCTTGGACGATACGATCGAAGTTGCGGTTGAGCTTCAATACGTAGTAGAAGCTCTGGTGGGACTGAGTTTGATAATGCCCAAGCTTGATGAGTGTCAAGGTCGAATTCTTGGAGAAGGCAAATATGCAAGAGTTTGCAAAAAGCCAAGAGTCTCCAATCTGAGAATTCAGATTCAGTCTACTTCAACAATTCAAGCAAAGAACCAAGAGTGTTCTACCTCAAAAGCCAAATGAATGCCTCTGTTTGAAGAGCCTTGAGAAGAGCCAATGAGAGAGCCAAGAACAATCGAGCCCCTCCAATCTTCAAGCTAGCAAGAGAAAAATAATCTCTCCAATAGCAAATCGCCAGCCCCCCTTGCGTTGGCAAAGAGCGGCTATAAATAAGCAAGGGAAGGTATGGGTCAACCCTTGATTTGTGGGATGTGACCACTAATAGGAGTAAGGAGTATCATACTCCCCCTATAGTTATGGGATGTGACCACTATCGGGGTGATGAGAGCCATGCCTTATCATTACCCAGGACGTAGGAAGTGGGTAGGCCCACCCCCACAAGCAAACATCCTGTTTGCATTGTTCAGGTGAGGCTGACAGAGTTGTGGGCAAGCTCGAGAGCTGTTCGAATGCTCATGCGAGCTTGGCAAACAAGCGGGGTCCATTAGTGGTCCCCTCCAACGTGTGAACTGGCGTTCATTGGTAAACGGAGTTCGTGCGGGTGAACTCCCTGTAGGCGGGCTTAGTTTGTGCGGGTGAGCTAAGCATTGAGGCAAGGTTGGGCTCGTGCTGGTGAGCTCAACGATTTGGCGAGCTTGATTTGTGTTGGCGAATCAAGCAAACGGGCGATGCTTGGTTCATGCGGGCGACCCAAGCAAACATGCGAGGTTAAGTTCTACAGTCGAGCTCAACCATTGGGCGGGCTTGACTTGTACTGGCGAGCGAGGCACGTTGGCGAGCTCACTCAAGATTGCAGGTGAGCTTTGCTGGGCTTGTGCTCGTTTTGAACACGCAGGCGAGCTTCGGCTTGGCCTTGAATGCAGGAGAGCTCTGCTTAGCCTCTTGAATGCAGGCGAACTTGACTCATGTTTGCAATTCAAGAAAACAGGCGATCTTCACTTGTCCTTTTGCTCGCTTTGAACATGCAGGCGAGCTTCGGCTTGGCCTAGAGCTCGCAGGTCATCTTGTATGGGCGAGGTTTGATCTCTCCTGTGTAAAAGCAATTTTTATTACCTACAAAACCCCCTTCAAAGTTTTCAGACCTAAATCCGGTCGCATGTGGTCTAGAACACTTTGAACGAAGAGGATCACCGCTCATTGGTTTTGGCTAATTTTGAGCCCCTTAGTTGAGTTGAGCTCTTCAGGTGAGCTCAGCGATGTGTAGGCGAGCTCGAGTCTTCAGGTGAGCTCAAGCCATTGG